GTGAGTATCTTGGAACTTGAGTGTTGTTGGCGTCGATTACCGTGGATGCATTGGGATGTTGAAGGGTTGGTTTACCTGCTGTTTGATTCTCGTGGAGTCGACTGGGAAATGTACTAGAACTATTACTGCTTTCTGGGCATCGAATTTCTCGTCGTTCTTGGGTCCTTTACGTTCGTTATTATGAAGTGTCCAGGAAATGCAATGGATTCCATATTCATCATGGAGCTCATGCAGGGTTTGAATCAGTGCTGACTTTCATGGTCTCCAAGAAATACATTGATCTCTGGACTTTATTTATTAGGGAAGTTGTACAAGGTTTGCATTAGAGCTCATGTTGATCATCATGGAGTGTCCAGGCAGTCCACAGACCCTTCACTGTTATTTGATTAGAGGCTTGAGAAGAACAATTGGTATCTTAACGTCATCTGTCTTAGTGTCCAAGGAAAGCTATACCATGGAGTGTCCAATGTATTACAAACGACAAATTTCTTTAACGTTCTCTGTCTTAGTGTCCAAGGAAAGCTATGAGAATCCTTATCTCTGAGTACCATGGAGTGTCCAGTGTATTACAAACTCTCGACAAATTTCTTTCCGTGGATTATCTGTACATATTATAATATTGTTTACCACGGAGCTTGTCTTTATCACATTACACTGGCCAGGGAAAGAATTGGGATTCTTTAGCGTTGTTTATTACCACACATATCATCATATTCAAGAAAAAAAAATGTATTTTGATTTTCTTTATTGATGTAGATGTGATGTCCTCACTCATTATCATTAAATAAACTGGGGCGAGACTTTGTTTGGCTGAAGTTATAAGAAAATATTCATTCCAGGGAAGTTTCAAAACAAATTAGAGCGGAAACGATTGGATTTCTTTTCTTCTTCTGTACGAAAGTATTGAGGTTTTAATATCGAGAAGTCAGAACCATTTATCATTATTATTATCTATTGTCAATAATAACATTGCTGTTATTTTCTTTTTCATTACTATCAAACGTATTATTGTTATTTCTATCAATACCATTTCATCGTTATCATCATCATCATCAATCATCATCATCATCATCATCATCATCATCATCATCATCATCATCATCATCATCATCACCATCATCATCATCATCATCATCATCATCATCATCATCATCACAATCATCAAAATCACCATCTCCTCGCTCCATTTCTGTCGGGCATCTATTTTCATCATCCGACCCATGTTATGAGGGTAAGTTGCCTTCAAAGCCCCAAAGGAAATTTCCAAAGCTTTATTGAAACGGTTTTATATCATTCTCTGTCCACAGATCGCTTCGACTTCGGTCATGTCGATCAATGTGAGATTAGAGAGACCGAGACACGCTGGCCAATCATTCCGAAAGATTTATTCGTTTCTGGGTTAAATAGGATGAAAAAAAAAAATAAAAATCAACGAAATTTCAAATCGTTAGACGGCCATCTTCCAATCTTCATTATCATTTCCCGTAATGTATGTGATATAATTTTTTTTTCTTTTTTAATTATTTCGATGTCATTATGGAGTATCGGTGGAGGCGGTACGAAAGCTGTGATTATATTTCATATCTCTGTGATGGCTTTAATCAAGGCATGACGTAGTGAAATCGTTATGATCAAGTTGAATAATTAAAAACAACAACAAAAAAAGCGAAGTAAGTCGTTAAACGCTAATGATATCCCATTTTCTATGAACGGACGTGAATATATTACGGGCTTGATGGGATACTCATACAAGAATAAAATGTTTTTGACGCCGCTAGACTGAAAACAAACAAGTACATCTGCGAGATAGAGAGACACGTGTAGACAATTCCAGGCGTAAAATAATTTATGACACTGGCGAGACGACGGCGCCAAAAATAGAAAATGGAATCCCTAACTGGCAGCTTTTCCAGCCAAACCCTAAAATTATTATCAAAGTCTTTGTCTTTTGTTCCGTTGCAGATTCTTTCTTGCTTTTATTTTGCTTTTGGCTGTCCCTTATGGCGTGTTTTGATGTCGTCTTTGTCACTGCTGTGTGAGGTTTTATCTTTTCATATGGGGGAGGTATTTACTGTAGTTTCTGAACGAACAGATTTTAGCTTCCCGAACGACCGTTGGCAACTCTTTTAGATTTCCCTGACTCTTTCTCTGGCTTTTAGCTGTCTGTCTGTCTGTCTGTCTGTCTGTCTCTCTCTCTCTCTCTCTCATCTCTCTCTCTGCTCTCTCTCTGTCTCTCTCTCCCCTCTCCCTCTCTCCCTCCTCCTCCTCCCTCCAATCCTTCCTCCTTCCCTCCCTCCCCTTATCCTTCTCTGTCTCTCCTCCTCTTGCATCCCCCCCCCATCTCCTTCTCTTTCTCTCTCTCTCTCTCTCCACTCGTCTCTCTCTCTCTTCTCTCTCTCTATCTCCTCTCTCTCTCTCCATCTCCCTCTCTCCTCCGTCATGATCCCTCATTCCATCCTCCTCCTTCCTCCCTCACTCCTCCCTCACCTCCTTCCCTCCC